ATTTTATTCTTGACACATCTTTTCCAATGATGGGAAGTCATTGAAATGGGCAGTAGAGGAGATTTTTAAAAAAATTTTTAAAGATTTATTTATTTATTTATGCATACAAGAACTGGGGTACAGGCCAGAAGTGTGAGCAGTGAGAAGATTCACCAGAGACAGAGTAGGAAACAGAATAGGCGGATTGACTGAAATACACTGCTGAGGGGAGCAATTGGGGGCGAGTCAGGAGAGGTCTACCAACCCATGTGGGTAGCTCCCTGGACGGGGATCGAACTCATGCTTCAGTGGCTGCGGATAGCTTCATAGGTTGTGTCTTAACCCCTTGCACCACCAGAAAGGCCCATAGAGGAGATATTTTGGACAGACATATCTCCTAGAACTCTAATCTCATTCTAAGGTAGGCAATTACTGAACTTTTTTTTTTTTTTCTCAAGAGCTTGTGTGATCAACTGGCAAATGTTGGCGAGAGATCTCGGTTTAATTGTCATTTAATTCATTTTCTGCTGTTGGTTAGTGGTTAACGGCCATGCAAATTCACTTTCTCAAAGTTTCACTTTTACCATAAATTCAGTATTTAACATGCTTTCATTTGCAGCATCTACTTAGGAACTTATATCCTGAAGAAATGTGGATCATATGAATATTCTCTTTTCTTTTTTACTTGTCATTAAAACACATCATGTAGTTATTTGGCTTATGGGAGGCTATGTTTTGGTTTGGTTTGGGTTTGGGTTGCTTTGGTGAGAGAGAGAGAGAGACAGAGAGGGACGGAGGAAAGCAGAGAGAGAGATTGATTTTGTGCACACATAATTTTGATTTTCAATTAACAAAGTCCAGGAAGGAAGATGAAGCAGGAAACAAACAAGAAAAAATGTTTAGCTTAACTGAGTATCATATATTTGAAATTTACAACAGTTTAAAATAATGAGCACATTCAGTGTGTGTAAGAGTGTAGCGATGAAACAATATATATTGTTGGCTGCAGTATAAACATAAAATATTTTTAGAAAGCAATTTTATAATAGGACTCAAGAATTGTAAAAGATCATAACCTATGGCCTAATCATATCCTGCTGTTTCTGGGTAAGAGAAGAAACATAGCATGAAAATATAAATTGTAACATTATTTATAATAGTGAAAATTGGATATAATCTAACTGTCTAATCATAGAGAAATGGTTAAGTAAATTATAGTAAATCCAGTCCAGTAAAGTTATGCAATCATTAAAAATAATGATTATGAAGGCTTTGTAGCAACATGAAACATGTTTGTGATATAATTTAAAAATTTTAAAAGGCCGATTGTGTGGCCAGGGGCATGAAAAAGCATGCAAGAGTAAAAATGGTTGGCTAGAGAGATTTTTTTTTTTAATGCCAGCATTGTTATATTGTGATTTTTGCACTAAAAATGGAAAACTCTACGGAGGTTTGACATAGTTTGAAAAGACAGGATACAGAGTGCATTGAACTGAGGTCCCATCCCACATACATATCCTCTATTTTTTGTCAGCCCTGCGTTGTGAAGGGTAAGAAGCCCCTTGCTAGGTTGTTTCATACTGGTGCTAGAGCAAGGGGAAAGGACTAGCTACAGAGGATACTACCTGGTGCTTTTATCTGGCATGAACACTGCAATTTTTGTCTCAGGATCACCTTCTGAAAACTACTCTAGGTTGCTCTTCACCCCAATAGGTTTACATTGGGGAACTTGGTTAAAATGAAAGTTAAGATAACAGGTGAGTCAGAAAAGGTTACAACTGTGTAACTGGTGTGTGATGGTTGGAAAGAACATTACAAAGCTTTGCTTTGGTTTTGGTAGGGGGGTTTTGGGGTGACAGCGTGTGTTTGTGTGTAGAGGTGTTTTTCCTTCTTAAGTACCAATTGCTAGCATTTCCTTTCTCCCCACCTCCCACTGCCCAGTTGTCAGTAGAGACCTGGGGTGGCAGAGTTCATGGTATGAGGGGGTCTCTGAGCAAAAGAAAAGGAACCAGCAGAGACTTGGAAGATGGTGACAGAGTTGAAGAACCAGAGAGAGGGGATTTGGGGTAGGGGCCGGGGGCCAGCAATAAGCTCTTTGTAATCCCTTGTCTCTTGTGATGAGAGATATAGAGATGGGATCTGGAATGAACTATCAGGGGATCAGGGCCTCGAGTTTATGTTTTGTGCACCATCTTTTTAGAATGTGGCTTCTGAGTGGGTTGGGAGTTATAACCATGTTTCCGTGTGATGCAGCCCTCCTTCCTCCACCTCCCACTTTCTTCATGAGCGCTGAGCTCTGTGACTCAGCTGCTTCTCAGGACATCTGAGCAGCTCCCCCCAGCCACCCCTTCTCCCCGCCCCCCAGGATAGAACTACAGTCAGGAGATAACTGAAACCAGAATTTTCTTTTTGTTGCCCTTCCATTTGGTATTTGAGGGTCTCTTCTCACCCATGGATCTATTTGAATGGGAAGACCCTGCAACAAGAGACCATTGGAGAATTGTAGAGAGTATTTTCTCTAGCCTGTGACTTGAGGAAAAGGCAGGCAGCGATTAATCCTGAAGACTGAAAAGGGAGCATTTGAAAGCCAGCCTTAAGTTGGATGCCAGGTTTTCCAACGGGCTGAGGCAGTCGAGTGTGTTTTCCCACTGCAGTTTCAATGCTTTTTCTTAGACGTGTCCCAGGAGTGGCTGCTTTCTGAGACCCCTGGAAATTCTGTCTTAAGGGACTTTGTCTAGCTTTCTTGGGGGATGAGCTCCCTCATCTTGACCTGACAGCTGTGCAAGCTGACCGTCAGGCTGATTTGTCTCTGTATGGAATTCCAATTTTCCCCTCATTCCGGAGGGGGGGAGGAGAGATGCGGGATTGGAGGGAGCTGCATTCTTTCTCAGGAATATGCGCCCTCCCCATCAGCCAGTGTCTGCCAGAAGGCGGAAATTTCTCCTGACTCCAAGGGTTGTTCCTAACTCTTGGCTTGTGCCCATCTCTTTCCTTTTCCTGAAGTCGCACTTGCTCCACCGTGAAGCTAGAGCTGGGATAAAAGCTTAGCACTAGAGGGAAGAAAGCTGGCGCAGGGGATCTGACTGCAGGGAGTCTGACCGATGGCCTACTGCCTTGTGCAGGGATGTTTCTCTCCCACCCCACCCCCAATCACTATACTGCTACTTCCTTGTGCTCTGCCATCTTTACAAACCTCTTTCCACTTTTTATCCTTTTACTTCTCCTTTTACTTTCTTTTTCGCTGTGCTGTTTTATCTTTGACCTTGCTTTACTCTTTGTCCCCCATCATTACCCAGTGAATAGTCATGACCTCTGACCAGTCTCCTTTCTCACTGAGACCTCTGTGCCGACTGGGATCTTGGCATGGCCTTATTGAAACCGAGGACTCATCGTCACTGTGTCACTGTTTACTGATTGCCTTGTGGGTGGGGAGGGGGCAGCCTGTCAACATTGCAGGGGCCCTTGTGGGGCTGAGAGAACTGACCACACCACTGTCACCACCCTTAGGAATATCCTGATCTCCTGGAAATGTGTCTTCCTGCTTGTGAGACTTGCCTCTGGGACTGGAAGGCTATGGGTGTGGCTTATCTGCCCACCCAGGGTAGTCAGCCCTAAGTCAGCTGGCTCATAGCATTGTGTCGCAGTAGACTAAGGCCATAGTGGGAGGAGTCTGTCCTTGAGAATCTGAATGTTGTATGGTGTTTTCTGACCACATGGGACTCTGCCCCACTTCTTCCTATGTTGTGCATCCAGGTTGGGTGTGACTTTCTGGAAGGTGTTCATCCACTTTGGGGAGGACATTAGAGCTCCTGCCCTTACCTTTGACTCTTCAGAGACACTGAAGGAAATCATAAGAAAACATGAAGACTGGCCTGAAGGTGTGGCTTGTCTCGTATCACCAGAGACCCTGTTCTGGAATCTGTGAAAGTGTTCGGGGATTGGACTTTCTTCTCGTCCCTCATTGTTTCAATTACAAGTAACCTCTGGGTTATGGCAACATGAATTGGCGCTGGAACTGAGGGGTTAGCCCTAGCCACACAGCCCCATGAACCATTCTGACTTAATTCCTTGGCTCCTTTACGGATCTAGAGGGACTGATGTTTATGATTGAATTCTTAGCAGAGCTTCTTCCTGATATTTGAAATGAAGCTTAAATCCTTTCTGAGATAGTTCCTTTATGTACAAAATTGGGTTATGACCTACTTTTCAAGGCTTTTGGGAAGAGTAGCCATAATATCCAGTGTTTATGACGTGCTTAATGTGTGCCAAGCACATAATCCTCACCAAAATCTTCTGAAGTGTAGGTACTATTATTATCCCCATTTTGCAGATGCAGAAACTGAGGCACAAGCAGATTTGTAATTATGCAATAAGTGGCTAGAACTGGAATGTGAACTCAGGTCTCTGCCCCAAAGTCTAGGCTTATGTCCTCTATGTATGATGTATGGAAAGTTGCCTACTCCCCTGCCTGGCACAGAAAAGAACCTCAGGAAAGTTAGTTGGCTACATATTTGTGGACTTTATTTTTTTTTAAAGGATTTATTTATTTATGCATACAAGAACTGGGGTACAAGCCAGAGGTGTGGGTTGATGTTGAGAGGATTCACCAGAGACAGAGTAGGGAACAGAACAGGCAGACTGACTGAAATACACTGCTGAGGGGAGCAGTGGGCGAGGCAGGAGAGGTCTGCTGCACCATGTGGGTAGCTCCCTGGCCAGCCGGGGATCTAACTCGTGCTGCAGTGGCTGGCGATGGCGTCATAGTTTGTGTGTTAACCACTTGCGCCACAAGGGAGGCTCTGTTTGTGGACTTAAATGACTGTTCATAGAACAGGATCACTTGAGGTTTCCAGGGTCTGATTGGGGTGGAAAATTTGGTATCTAGGGAAGGAAGCTGACGAGAGACAGCACCAGCCCATCTTCTTGCAGAGAGGACATAAGCCAGAGCCAGCTTCCTGCAGGTCAAAGGCAGGTCCACTGCTCCCTCCTCCTCACAGCATTGTCTCTGTCCTGCCCTGCAGGGTGATGTGAGCAGAGCCCAGGAATGCCTTATGTGGATCGGCAGAACCGAATCTGTGGGTTTTTGGACATCGAGGAGCATGAGAACAGTGGCAAGTTTCTGCGGAGGTACTTTATTCTGGATACCCAGGCCAACTGCCTTCTCTGGTACATGGACAACCCCCAGGTGAGCAGCTGGGTGGAAGGTGGCAGGGCAGCTTACTGCCCATCACTGCCTGGGAGGGAGGCACATGGAAACAGCCTCAAGGGCCCCATCTCTTATGGGCAGCACTGACCTGCTGGTCAGTAAAGAGGGGAAACCTTACACACACACACACACACACACACATGCACACATGCACACACAAAACCATCCCTGATCTTAGACTGAAGAGAAAGAAGAAGCTCATCTCTCCTAGCTCTGGGGAGCTGCTGTCTTTTCTCATACTCGAGAATTTAATACTTGCAGAAGTTAGGCAGAGGCTTCCCAGGCTGGATCCAGACTCCAGGGCCGCCTTGCTTCCTCTCACTTCTCTGTTAGGGCTGTGGCTTTGTGGCCATTCCTGCTCTTCCAGTCTGGCGCCCTTCCTCAGCAGAGAATGTGACCTGGTTCTCTGTGCTGGACACATGTTGGACTTCTTTGCTCTCCTGCATCTGGGAGTCAGAAACCTGGGTTGGAGGTGACTTTGGAGGTCACTTACTTTTGCATCCTCATGCTACAGATGGAAAGAAAAAAGGAGTATTAAGCAGTGGAATTGACTTTGGCAAAGACGCAGTGAGAAGTAGGGGGATTACTTGGTATTTTGTCAAGCACGAACCTGGATCCCCAAGGATTTTGTTTTTTTAAGATTTATTTATTTGTTTGCTTGTTTGTTTGTTTATTTATTTATTTATTTATTGAAGCACTGGGTACAGTAAGAAGCGCGGGAGGGTGAGAGAATTCACCAAAGCCAGAGCGGGGAGCAGAACAGGCAGACTGACGAAGTACACTGCTGAGGGGAGCAGCAGGTGGCAGGAGAGGTCTTTTGTGCCATGTGGGACCCTTGCCAGCGGCCGGGGATCAAACCGGTGCTGCAGAGGCTGCAGGCAGCTTCACAGCCCAGCGATCAACCGCTGCGCCACCAGGGAGGCCCAGGATCCCCAAGGTTTTATTTCCATGTTTGGGAATCTCTGGCATTGTCTCTGGTCTGGGGAAATGTTAGTCTACCCCTGACAGTTTCCCCCTGGCATTGTGAATGCTGTTGGCTCTTTCCCTACCACTGCCTTAGAGCAGTTTGGTGCAATGAGGAACCAAAGACTGGTGTGACCACTGAATGGTAAAATCAGTCCCTGAAAGGCCAGATTATGGGTCATGGTCAATGTGGGTGGCGAGAGGTATGGGGCTGACATCTGGCTGTGGTTCAGAGACTTGTGAAGGGGAAAGTCCGAGTGTTAGGGTCATAGATTTGTGCTACAAGATGTTAAGTGGAAAAAGTGATCCTCTGAACACCTTTGACATTTGTCCTCTAATTTTGATGGCTGAGAAAAAATTTTATAGATATAGAAGACATACTCAGGTCAGCTGCTGCTAATGACCTTTTCCAGGAAAAACTTAACCCTTAATAGAACTGTGCCCTAAGTTTCACTCCACTTCCCTGATAAACTGTTGATTACTTTCATTTAAAGTGCTGAGCCTGCAGAATGAAGCTTCCATGCTTACCTGTAATCCTTGCCTGAGCCTAGAATGCTTGCATAATAAACCTGGAGCTTTATTAATGCAGGGTCTTGCGTTTGCCTGTGGACCCTGCTATGTCACTTTACCAGCTTTTGTTTTGCACAGATGCCCACAGCTGGGTGAACAGATCCCATTGGGAAAGGCAGTAGCACTTGAAATACTCTTCCCAGTGTTGAAAGAACTTTCGATCAAGTCGTTGTTGTCAGTAGACTTGTTTTCTGGAATGACAGGGATGAGTCCCTGGTGACTTAAGACCTCTGGATCTTTTTATTTCCTTTCCCTTTTTCACCGTTTGTGTGCCTTGTCCCACTCACCTGCTAGATAAGCTCAGGTCATTTGAATGAATTTTTGTTCTCATTTACCTGCTTAATGCTGTGCCTTCTATAAGGGTCATTTTTTTTTAAGATTTATGCATATAAGAACTGGGGTACAGGCCAGAGGTGTGGGGGGTGAGAGGATTCACCAGAGACAGGGTGGGGAACAGAACAGGGAACAGAACAGAACAGATTGACTGAAGTACACTGCTGAGGGGAACAGCGGACGAGTCAGGAGAGGTCTGCTGCACCATGTGGGTTATCTACCTGGCTGGGGATTGAACTTGTGCTACAGTGGCTGTGGATAGCTTCATAGTGCTACTTCTTAACCCCTTGTGCCGCCAGGGAGGCCCCATATCAGGGTCATTCTTCACTCAAATCTACTTGCTTGGGGCCTCCTCTCTAGCTGTTGCCAGCTACCTCCCCTGAGAGTTGGACTCTCCTTCATACCTTGGGGCACAGACTGAGTCTTAGTGTCACTGAGCGGTCACACATGACCACGGTGTCACCATCTCAGGTCTTTCTTTTTACTCTCTATGTATAACTTTTTTTTTTTTCTCTTTTATCCTTTTTTCTTTTTGATGTTTAAAAAATTAATTTATTTTAAGTAAAACAATTTTTCCTATCTCAAATCTTGAATCAGGATTTCCTTTGCTCTTTCCTGCCCTGATTTGACTGTCCCTTTGTTCCCAAACCCACACTAACCTTCAGTGCTGCCCCTTTGGTTACCTCTCTGGAGTCAGGGTCTGGAGCAAGTCCCCCACTGCCCAGGGCTGCCTCCTATGTTTCCTGCCAACTGAACTGCCAGGGTGCTCTTTGTGCTGCAGTCACTTTGAGTTTGGGAACTTGTAGCCTCTGCTGGAGATGCTTTCATTTTCCCTGGAAGCAGAGGTTTCATCTGGGTTCACTATACTGTGTCTTGCTGTGACATGGCAATAATTCAGAACATTTACTTCTTCAGTTGTTGGCTTACCTCTTCATTGTGTTAATGGTCAAACAGCCACTGTAGACTTGAGAGTGGATATTTTTGTAAGTTGTAAAATGGCATTAGTGAGCATTTGTTGCTGTTTGCCGCACACTGTTCTAAACACTGTTGGGTTTTCAGATCATTTTGATAGCCACTTTAATTGGTAGGTATTATTGCCCTAATTCTAAAGGTGAGTTGGGTGAGGTAGATAGGGCAAGAAATTTGCCCGTGGTTACATAATAAGAAAGTGGCAGAGCCAGGAGTTCAATCCAGGCAGTCTGATTCCAGTTTCCCTGCTATTATTACTGATAATAGACTGTCAACTTAATGTTGCTTGGGGAGGAAAGAAAGTTCTCTGATTGAGAAAGAGAAGCCAGAAGACTCAGGATTGGGAGGTCCCAGCAGTCAAGGAGTGTTTATCGTGTGTCCAGCATTTGATAAATGTAATGAGTATATAAACAAACTAAAGAGGACCAGGGACTATTATCCAAAAGACAAGAAACAACAAGTGTTGGAGAGGATGTGGAGAGAAGGGAACCCTTGAGTGCTGTTGGTGGGGTTGTCAGTTGGTGAAGCCACTATGAAAAGTAGCATGGAGATTCTCCAAAAAATTAAAAATAGAAATTTCACACAATTTCATTATCTTGTTTCTTTATATTTTGCTTGAAGAATATAAAAACACTGATGGTCTCACTCATAGCAGGAATTTAGAAAACCTAAATAAGAGACCGGGAAAAAGACTAATCAATACAAAGTAAAAATCAAAAATCAAAATCAACAAGCAACTATAAACCAGAGACACACTATGGGGGGTGGAGGGGAAGGAGGGAGGGGCAGGGAAAGGAAGGACTAGAGTCAAAATAAGGGGGGGGGTGCAATTGTACAATTGTATGGGGAATATAACCAAAATGAAAATGCATACATTGTGCTAAGATGAAAAAAGATGTAAGAATTATATAAAATAAAATATTTAAATTAAAAAAATTCTCAGATCAAGAAGTAGTCAAAAAAAGAATATAAAAACTCTAATTTGAAGAGATATGTGCACCACCTATTCATTGCAACATTATTTACAGTAACCAGGAATTAGAAACAACCTGGGTGCCCACTGACAGGTGAGAAAAATACCTTTATACAAAATGGAATGTTGCACAGCTATAAGAAAAGGTGGAATCCTGACATTCACAACAACATGGATGGATCTAGAAAGTTTTAGGCTCACTGAAATATAGGTCAAGCAGAGAAAGACAAATATTATATGATCTTACTCATATGTGTTACATAAAGAAACTAAACAAATGAATAAGCAAAACAAAAGAAAAGCAAACTCCCAGACTCTCAGACCAATTAGTGGTTACCAGAAGGGAAAGGAGAAAGTGGGGTGGGTGAACAGGTTAGAGGGTCAGTTGTATGATGAAGGATAGAATAGAATTGGACTTTTAGTGGTGAACATAATGTAGAAAATACATGTGTTAATTTTTAATGATGTACATCTGGAACTTACAATGTTACCATGCAAAGTTAAGTCAATAAAAAATTATTTTTGGGTCTCCCCGGTGGCGCAGCGCTTGAGCGCTGGGTTGCGAAGCTGCCCACAGCCTCTGCAGTGCCAGTTCGATCCCCGGCTGCTCCCCGGCCACCGGAGGAGGGTCCCGCATGGCGCGCAGACCTCTCCTGCCGCCCGCTGCTCCCCTCAGCAGTGTACTTCGGTCCTTCTGCCTGCTCTGCTCCCCGCTCTGCCTCTGGTGAATTCTCTCACCCTCTCGTGCTTCTGACTGTACCCAGTGCTTGTATCAATCAATCAATCAATCAATCAATCAATCAATCAATCTTTAAAAAAATAAAATAAAATAAAAAATAAAAAATAATTTTAAGAAAGGGGCAGGGAAAGAGGCCATCAGAAAAGGGGCTTCTCTGAAATTGGAGGGCCCTACCCACTCTCCTGGGATTAGAGATTGGCCCTCAGCTGCACGGAAGCTCTGCATAGGGGCCAAAACAGAGCACCAGGAGTCGGGAGATGGACCAGAAGTGGTCTCCCAGAGCAAACTGGGGCCTTGGGTCTGTGCCTGTGGCGAGGTATCGGGAATTGTGTTCTGTCACAAAGCATCTTTTATAGGGAAGAGACACCTGATATGACATCTTAGTTTCTTAATAGGTAAGAAGCAGGTGATTTTCTGTATCCGGGTCTCTGA